ATTAAGCCGGCGGCTTGTCAAAGGTCCCCCTCCCCATTTTCCCTGATCTTTTCCAGCTGTATTTTAACACCCAGCAGAGTTTTGGCGTTTACGGCTTCGGCGGGTAGGCAGTTCCACGGGTTTACAACCCCATGGGTGAAAAAGCATATCCCGTTTCCTGTCCTAGACTGTGGCTTGTTGAGCTTGAACCCGTTGCTCCTTGTTCGTGTTGACCTTTTGAAGACATTGTCCAAATCGACATCCTCCAAATTGTTTAGTATTTTTTTTTTTTTTTTTTTTTTTTTTTTTTTTAAGATAAATACAAGTTATTACATTCTTGTACAGCCACTAGTAGGCATAATGTTTCGGGCAGGTCCCTGGAATACGATCCCCGCCGCGAAGAATCGTTGTTACAACCAAGTACCCATTTTACTGTTGAGTTAAACAGAGGCTACAGTTAAGAATTTGCGCCCAGTAAATCCTCCCCGCCCAGGATACGAACCCATGACAAAGCGCTCGCGGAACACCAGGCGAGTTCAGCTTGCTATGGCTCCATAGTTGGTTGCTTGGGCAAGTGGGCAGATTTAGATAGGTGTAAGGAAGTTTTTTTTTTTTTTTGGAAAGGCTAGGAAGGGAGATTGGTTGCGCTCTGGGGCTGTTTGGTTAGCTTGTTGGGGGTAGGATGAGATATATCCATGCTAGGCTTGCGGCTACACAACCGGTGGGGCTCAGATTACACAACCGGTGGGGCTCCGGTTAGACAACTGGTCGAGCTCCGGTACACAACTGATAAAGTTACATAACTGGTCAGGCTTCAGGGGTGCCACTTGGGCTTCGGGTTGTGCATGTTCGGGTTTCGATTCGTGCATGGTTGTGATCCAGGGGTTGTTTGTTTGGTTCGTGCTTGCTAGGCTTGCGGGTACACAACTGGTCGGGTTCCGGTTAAATAACTGGTCAGGCTCAGGTTAAATAACTGGTCGGGCTCCGGTTACACAACTGGTCAGGCTCTGGGGGTGTCACTTGGGCTTCAGGTTGTGCATGGTCGGGCTTCGGTTCGTGCATGGTTGTGCTGCAGGGGTTGTTTGTGTACTAGTGCTCCAGGTTTGTTTCCTAGGGCTCTATGGTTATATGTTTGCTAGAAATATGGTTTCTTTTTTTGTACATAGCTCAATTGTTTGCTATGGTTCCATAGTTGGTTGCTATGGCAAGTAGTGTTTTAGGTACGGTTAAAGAGATTTTTGTTTGGTAGAACTAGGAAGGAAGTTTGGTTGGGTTCAGGGGCAGTTTGTTTAGCTTGGGTAGATGAGATGTATCCTTGCTAGGCTTGCGGTTACACAACTGGTCGGGGTCCGGTTACACAACTGGTCGGGCTTCGGTTACACAACTGGTCGGGCTCCGGTTACATAACTGGTCGGGCTTCGGGTTGTTGTGCATGGTCGGGCTCCGGTTCGTGAATGGTTGTGATCCAGGGGTTGTTTGTTTGGTTCGTGCCTGCAAGGTTTGCCGGTACACAACTGGTCGGATTCCGGTTACACAACTGGTCGGGCTCCGGTTACACAACTGGTCGGGCTCCGGTTACATAACTGGTCGGGCTCCGGGGGTGTCACTTGGGCTTCGGGTTGTGCATGGTCGGGCTCCGGTTCGTGCATGGTTGTGTTTCAGGGTTTTTTTGTGTACTAATGCTCCAGATTTGTTTCCTAGGGCTCTATGGTTATATGTTTGCTAGAAATCCAGGTTTCTTTTTTTCGTACATAGTTCAATTGTTTGATTGCTATGGTTACATAGTTGGTTGCTATGGCAAGTAGTGTGTTTAAGGTAGTGGTTAAAGAGATTTTTGTTTGGTAGAGCTAGGAAGGGAGTTTGGTTGGGTTCTGGGGCTGTTTGTTTAGCTTGGTGGAGGTTGGATGAAATGTATACTTGCTAGGCTTGCGGTTACACAACTGGTCGGGCTCCGGGGGTGTCACTTGGGCTTCAGGTTGTGCATGGTCGGGCTTCGGTTCGTGCATGGTTGTGCTCCAGGGGTTGTTTGTGTACTAGTGCTCCAGGTTTGTTTCCTAGGGCTCAATGGTTATATGTTTGCTAGAAATCTTGGTTTCTTTTTTTGTACATTGCTCAATTGTTTGCTATGGTTCCATAGTTGGTTGCTATGGCAAGTAGTGTGTTTTAGGTAAGGTTAAAGAGATTTTTGTTTGGTAGAGCTAGGAAGGAAGTTTGGTTGGGTTCAGGGGCTGTTTGTTTAGCTTGGGTAGATGAGATGTATCCTTGCTAGGCTTACGGTTACACAACTGGTCGGGATCCGGTTACACAACTGGTCGGGCTTCGGTTACACAACTGGTCGGGCTTCGGTTACACAACTGGTCGGGCTCCGGTTACATAACTGGCCGGGCTCCGGGTGTGTCACTTGGGCTTCGGGTTGTGCATGGTCGGGTTTCGATTCGTGTATGGTTGTGATCCAGGGGTTGTTTGTTTGGTTTGTGCTTGCTAGGCTTGCAGGTACACAACTGGTTGGGTTCCAGTTACACAACTGGTCGGGCTCCGGTTACACAACTGGTCGGGCTCCGGTTACATAACTGGTCGGGCTCCGTGGGTGTCACTTGGGCTTCGGGTTGTGCATGATCGGGCTCCAGTTCGTGCATGGTTGTGTTTCAGGGTTTTTTTTGTGTACTAATGCTCCAGTTTTGTTTCCTAGGGCTCTATGGTTATATGTTTGCTAGAAATCCAGGTTTCTTTTTTCGTACATAGTTCAATTGTTTGATTGCTATGGTTACATAGTTGGTTCCTATGGCAAGTAGTGTGTTTTAGGTAGTGGTTAAAGAGATTTTTGTTTGGTAGAGCTAGGAATGGAGTTTGGTTGTGTTCTGGGGCTGTTTGTTTAGCTTGGTGGAGGTTGGATGAAATGTATACTTGCTAGGCTTGCGGTTACACAACTGGTTGGGATCCAGTTACACAACTGGTCGGGCTTTGGTTACACAACTGGTCGGGCTCCGGTTACATAACTGGTCGGGCTCCGGGGGTGTCACTTGGGCTTCGGGTTGTGCATGGTCGGGTTTCGATTCGTGCATGGTTGTGATCCAGGGGTTGTTTGTTTGGTTCGTGCTTGCTAGGCTTGCAGGTACACAACTGGTTGGGTTCCGGTTACACAACTGGTCGGGCTCCGGTTACACAACTGGTCGGGCTCCGGTTACATAACTGGTCGGGCTCCGGGGGTGTCACTTGGGCTTCGGGTTGTGCATGGTCGGGCTCCGGTTCGTGCATGGTTGTGTTTCAGGGTTTTTTTGTGTACTAATGCTCCAGATTTGTTTCCTAGGGCTCTATGGTTATATGTTTGCTAGAAATCCAGGTTTCTTTTTTCGTACATAGTTAAATTGTTTGATTGCTATGGTTACATAGTTGGTTGCTATGGCAAGTGGAGGGTTTTAGGTAGGGCTAAAGAGATTTTTGTTTGGTAGAACTACGGAGGGAGTTTAGTTGGGCTCTGGGGCTGTTTGTTTAGCTTGGTTAGATGAGATGTATCCTTGCTAGGCTTACGGTTACACAACTGGTCGGGGTCCGGTTACACAACTGTTCGGGCTCCGGTTACACAACTGGTCGGGCTCCGGTTACATAACTGGTCGGGCTCCGGTTAAATAACTGGTCGGGCTCCGGTTACACAACTGGTCGGGCTCCGGGGGTGTCACTTGGGCTTCAGGTTGTGCATGGTCGGGCTTCGGTTCGTGCATGGTTGTGCTCCAGGGGTTGTTTGTGTACTAGTGCTCCAGGTTTGTTTCCTAGGGCTCAATGGTTATATGTTTGCTAGAAATCTTGGTTTCTTTTTTTGTACATTGCTCAATTGTTTGCTATGGTTCCATAGTTGGTTGCTATGGCAAGTAGTGTGTTTTAGGTACGGTTAAAGAGATTTTTGTTTGGTAGAGCTAGGAAGGAAGTTTGGTTGGGTTCAGGGGCTGTTTGTTTAGCTTGGGTAGATTAGATGTATCCTTGCTAGGCTTCGGTTACACAACTGGTCGGGATCCGGTTACACAACTGGTCAGGCTTCGGTTACACAACTGGTCGGGCTCCGGTTACATAACTGGTCGGGCTCCGGGGTGTCACTTGGGCTTCGGGTTGTGCATGGTCGGGTTTCGATTCGTGCATGGTTGTGATCCTGGGGTTTTGTTTGGTTCGTGCTTGCTAGGCTTGCGGTTACACAACTGGTCGGGTTCCGGTTACACAACTGGTCGGGCTCCGGTTACACAACTGGTCGGGCTCCGGTTACATAACTGGTCGGGCTCCGGGGGTGTCACTTGGGCTTCGGGTTGTGCATGGCCGGGCTTCAGTTCATGCATTGTTGTTTCAGATGTTATTGTTCCGTTCGTTCATGCTAGGCTTGTGGTTACACAACTGGTTGGGCTTCGGTTACACAACTGGTCGGGCTTTGGTTACACAACTGGTCGGGCTCCGGTTACATAACTGGTCGGGCTCCGGGTTGTACATGGCCGGGCTTCAGTTCATGCATTGTTGTTTCAGATGTTATTGTTCCGTTCGTTCATGCTAGGCTTGTGGTTACACAACTGGTTGGGCTTCGGTTACACAACTGGTCGGGCTTTGGTTACACAACTGGTCGGGCTCCGGTTACATAACTGGTCGGGCTCCGGGGGTGTCACTTGGGCTTCGGGTTGTGTATGGCCGGGCTTCGGTTCGTGCATGGTTGTGATCCAGGGATTGTTTGTGTACTAGTGTTCCAGGTTTGTTTGCTAGGGCTCTATTGGTCATGTGTTTGCTAGAAATCCAGGTTTCTCTTTTCGCACATTGTTCAATTGCAAATTACTTATTAGCAAATTCTATCATATCATATAGGTTATATTATTGTCTTGGAAGACGAGAAGAACAAGGAAGACAATTCCTTGACATTTGATTGACAGTTGAGAGGCGGGACCAAAGAGCCAGAGCTCAACCCCCCGCAAGCACAATTAGGTAAGTACAAGCCAGCCCAAATGTGTATACGAAAGGGTTCCTGGATGGCATTGTTTGTGAACGAACTGGTTATTTGTGTACCGAGCGGACAGTATGTACGAAAATTAGAGGCGACCTCGGTGTGGCGTCCCTGGAGGCTGGAGGCGGTACTCGGCCTCACCCTTGGCCCGAGGACACGCTGGGAATGGAGTACAAGTTAGTGGAGTGTGCCCTCGTGGTCCCCTGGAGTCGCCTGACGTGTGGCAGGTGTTTAGCATGAGAAATTACCCACACCGCGTTACGTGCACAGTCACTTCCTGCACGCAGGTGAGTGTGGTGCTGGGTGTAGGTGTGGCTCCTTGGCCAGGTGTGGCTGGCTACGGTCACACTCTTGCTTGGCTAGAGGTACAGATGTGGCTGGAGTTGCAGGTGTGCCGTGGCCCCAGTCAATAGGCAAGTCAGAATACAAATAGATTAACTAAACCATGACAAAGTCGGCTAAAGGTCTAAAGCATTAAAAACCAAAATTTTTATGTCAGTTGCTTGTACATTTAAATATAAATGAGCCAATAGTTCCTTCAAAAGGTCAGATGTAACACAGAAGGAGCAACGGCTTCAAGCTCAACAAGCCACAATGTAGCACTGAGGACAGGTGATGCTTTCTCACTCACAGGGTTATAAACCTGTGGAACCGCCTACCCGCCGAAGACGTAAATGCCAAAAGTCTGTTAAATTTTGAAATCCAACTGGAAAAAAATCAGGGCATATGGGTGGACCTTTGACAAGCTGCCGGCTTCCTGTCCTCATTAAGGCCACTTGGGTAAATTCAAACTTGTGTGGTGGGCTGAAATACATTAGGCCTATGTTGCTGATTTATTTTTGACTTAGATTAGAAATGTGGTACTGTATTTCAGTTGGGCTCGTTCTTAACTCTGGAGTCCCGGGTGGGACAGAAATTGTTGGGCATTTTTTCTTTCACCTAATGCCTCTGTGCACCTAGCAGTAAATATATACCCTGGAGGAGTCAACTGTTGTGCAATTGTATTCTGGGGAAATTGAAATTGAAGTAAGTTTATTGAGGTAAAATACACACAAAGGGATGAGGTAGCTCAAGCTATTCTCACCCCGTTCAGTACATCGTGTTAATACATACATATACACACATCACAAACAATAAACATATTACCAAACATTCTGAGAGATAAACATATACATTTCCTTATCCTGGGGAAGGTTAGTAATTCGGCCTTGGGGAGGATTTCGATACAAGGCGTACAAGGATTTCGATACAATTTTGATACACACTGCCTAACCCAGACAAAAATATATTAAGTAAAAATTGAAAAGCAGCACTTGCAATAAATTCAATGTTTTAAGGCTAAATATACTATTGTCTGCTGTATTTGAATTTATGTAGTGTAGGCTAGGAGCTAGCGCACACGCTTAAACAAGAGAGGACCTACAGTATATTCAAATCTTGATTAGGGTAAAGGAATGATTGGGCATCATTCCTCTACCCTAATTTGCAGTGATTAGGAACAAAATATTTTTAATAAACAATTTTTTAAACTGTTTAAAGTATTTGTTTGTATTAATAATATACCCAATAATTTCATATCAGTAGATGTAGGTCTATGTATCCAGGGAAAATGGGAAGCACAAACACAATTGTGAAACACTTGTATAATAAAGAAATACTGTAAATACTAAGTTTGCATGTCCCCTCCCCCAGCCATAGGACAACAGATCCAGAGTTTGTCATATCATGCACAAGATGATTTGACAAAGCTTGTTTCCTGCTTGTTAAAACCATGCATATTGTTAAATTAGGATATATTAACTTAGACTAGTTTGGGTAAGGCAGTGTTAGGATGGGTAAAGTTAGGTAGGTTTTAAAATCCTTTGGCAAACTGTCTCGTGTATGCAGGCGATGAGTCACAGTAACGTGGCTAAAGTATGTTGACCAGACCACACACTAGAAGGTGAAGGGACGACGACGTTTCGGTCTGTCCTGGACCATTCTCAAATCGATTGTGAGAATCGACTTGAGAATGGTCCAGGATGGACCGAAACGTCGTCGTCCCTTCACCTTCTAGTCTGTGGTCTGGTCAACATGTCTTGTGTACGATGTGACTTGCGTCCAAAGTACCAAGACATGAGATTGAGGAGGCAGGTTGGCTGGATTCCTAGATATGAACTGCTACCTGATTTTGACGTATCTTTTCTTTGAATATGATAACATTTTAGATTTAAACATAAGTTAAAATTACTGATCACTAGATGTAAATAATCTTGTGTGTGTATATTGAATAATGAAGTACATATTCACAGTCCCAAGTTTGATCAATTTATTAATCTTCAGGTGTCCAGAACGGCAGCTCAACACACAAAATGATAGAGGGTACTTCACCTATGATCCAGGCACTCCTGGGTACCCTCTTCACTTGGGGTCTCACAGCAGCTGGGTCTGCTGTAGTTTTTCTTCTATCAGGAACAAAGGTTTGCTTTCTAATGACTCCTTTAGAAGTTTATAAATATGATCTTTACTGTTAATTATACTGTAGCATGCAATGAATAATTTGTTAAACATGTAGCATCTTTAGTTTGCTTTTGTTATTTATTTGGAAATTAATGTTGATGGAAATCTATAACCTACAATATTATGTATTCAATAGGTAACCACAGTAGGAATATCTTAAGGTTTTGTTAAAATATAAATTCTAAAATTTCAGTGGCATTGCAATATATGATCAATATCTATCATCTCTCGCAGTCTGCATATTACTCATTACAGCATCTAAAAATCATTGCAACCCGCTGTAATGTTAATGATTATTCTCATGTAATTTAAACCTGTCCAGTTAAACTATTTCCTTGTTAATAATTAACCAACCTTTTTTTTTTTTTTCCAGAGAAAAGTTTTAGATGGCAGCTTGGGTTTTGCTGCTGGTGTTATGACGGCAGCATCCTTTTGGTCACTGTTGGCCCCTGCCATAGAACTAGCTGAGACTTCGGGATCATATGGCCAAGATGGAGAGTGGGCTTTTTTGCCTGTTGCAATTGGCTTCCTCCTTGGTGCCTTGTTTGTGTATGCTGCTGATGTGTTTATGAGCTTAACTGGGATTCAATCACCAAACATATCTCTAGGTAAGGAATGGTGTTGATTTTCGAGTATGACTGTCCATAGATATTTGTTCTGGTACAGTTCCTGTACAGTACAGTATACTGTATATAAATTAGTTTGATTTTTAATTCAATGTATAATGTGTAAAAATTATTGAATTTGTATAAGAATGGTATTTAAAGCAGTAAGGACAATGGCAGTAGTAACTTTTAACATTAGGCCTACTGTAAATGGATCTTAGAAAATAAGATTGAATGTTGAATGAAATAAAACACACCTTCCTAACCTGATCCCTTGGATCCTACATGAGCAGGATTCATATCACCATCTAGGCTATTGTCGAGGAAAATAAATTTAGAGACTGTGGTAAGTCCAAATTAAACTGCCATGAGGAACCTATTCGCTTTGAGACAAAAGAGGGAGCAATGCCCTCAACTCGCCTTACATGTGATAATCAGAAATATATAAGAAACTCAAAGTAACACTGCTAACCCCTAGTTGGTAAGGGCAAGATATATGTGCCGTTATGTCACAATATTGTTGGCAGAACTTGCACCCATCATTGGAACTAACACTTGGCATCCACCTGTTGCTCACCTAGGCTTTACGGAGGCCAGTTATCTAAGTTTTTCTGCATAGTTTTAGCCAAGAGGCTCTTATCTCATTACAAGACTTTTCCTTCCTGTGGGTTTGCTTCACTTCATAGTTTACCAGTTATTTGTGTGCCACTGTCTGTTTATCCACTAGGCTGTGTTTCAGAGTTGTCTTTCTTGTGCTGTTTTTGGCTTTCTAGCCAGAGATATCAGCAGTCCAGGGGGACCAAACCACAGGAAATAGGAAGAATCTGACCAGAGAACCAGACCAAACCACAGACTTTCTGAGAGAAACTTTAATGTACAAACACTCAAACTAGAGAAATCAGCAGGGTTCGTTCGGTGTGGTAGTTGTCAGGGTCTTGGTCACTTAGATACTGTCAACAAAGACTTGTAATTGATCTGACTTTTAGATTAGCAAGAGCCTTCGATTGGCTATGGTTCATAACATGATTGGGATTGAAAGAGGTTAGCATTTGTGAGTAAATAATTGTGTAGGGAATTTTAACTTCATTGATTCCCAGGCACCTTAATGGTTCTGCAGGGACTGTAGTTCCTGTAGCATTAGTACTTAAAAATATAATAACTGTCCAGGGATTATTTGTAGTGTAGTTGAATTACATACCTCTAAGAGTGGCAGCTTATCCTATTCGGAAAGTTAAATTTCACAAGTTAATAAATATTTTTTTATACCTTGCAGCTCTTCAAAGTGACAGGAAGAAAACTGATGGGGACGGTGTTGCGCCTCACCAACCTTCATACTATACCGGAGAACCTTGTAAGCTGCAATTTTGAATGCAATAAATTAGTACAGCATGTTTTGCCAATGCATTTAACTTGGGTTCAATACCTGAATGTTGTCCTCTGACAGCATGTCCATCATAGGCTTGGCCAGTAAGATAGCTTCTCTTTATAAATAAACTGGAAGTCCAAAGGATTCTTGACACGTGTGAGATGAATGTACCTTCTGAAATATGAGCAGCAACATGTGAGGGGGAGTCAGGAGAAGTAAGATAATCAGGAAAGATGTTTTAGCAGTAGGGGATATGACCCACACTAGTTAGTTTACTGCTCCTACATAATGTATACCAAAATTCCTGTTTTCCTTTTCTTTCTTTTACGAGTTCTTGTAGCTTGACATTTTGTTTTTATTACTATATTTCCATATTTCTATTGCATATGCTTTCTTCTGTTTGTTTCCAATAATGTGAGTATTTAACAGCTACAGTATTTTGTCTTTAATAGCCAGACTCCAGACTAGCAACCGGAAGTCTTTAGTACATTGTACAGTATTAATTTAATCTTAGCACTGATTATTTGATATTTATAGGCATAGAAATTTAGCAATGATACCTGTACAGTACAGGATTAACATTTTCACTATCAATACTCTAACCATGACTCATACAGTACCAAAAGGCATATGAAGATAAAATGATGATTGATGAACCATTCCTTACTAGGATTTGGAATGCTGTATATACCATAAATTATGCTTTAACATGTGGGAGAAAGTGATTTTGTTGTTAACAAATAAGTCATTTTTTTTGTAGTTGTGGGTAAAAAACATAGGAAACATGTCATATATAGAGCTCTAGTGAGGTGGTAAATTCCACTTAGGGTATTGATGTGAGAAAGTAATTATTAGTTACATTAATATTCACATCTAAGAATAGATAATTGTTGCACTGTCGAATGATTTAAATTGTACTATATACTATAAATGTTTTTTGTCTTGATCATAAATTAAGTATTAAACTTGATTTTCTTCAGATGTCAATGAAGTAGGGCAAGGCTCCACTGCTAATGCTTTCACTTCTATCAACTTCAGTATGTATGCTTTTATTTTAAGTTTTAACTTGTTTCTATTTTCCTTTTTATTTTATTTTGTGGTGCAGAGTTGAGGCCAAACAAATCATTAGGGGCATGTGATACGAAGAAGTGGAACAACCATTATGGCTGCAGCAAGAGAGGGGAGAGATTGAGAGGGATAATCATATATATTTCAACTTGTAGGGGTTTCTAGAACACTGCTTTTATAAGTGAAAGCTTTATAAATCTCACATAGTGAATTCTTTTGGTAACAAGCTTATGATCAGAGAATGCCGGGCTTATCTTTCCAGTCTGGGCAGAACCTTCCTGATAAGATATCAGTAGTACTGCACTATAACCAGTTCTAGTACCTTGCCCAAGCCCTGAATCCCAACATTAAAACTAAACATACGTAGCTAATAAACCCACATGGTTGTATGTTATAAGTATAATAATGTAATGTCCAAATAAATTAGTTTTCATTAGAGATATGTACTGTACAGCCAGTGAAGTAGTTGTCAGTAGTTTGCATTAATATTTGTTGTTTTGGATTTTCTAGACATTAATCATTTGCATACTGCAGTTGGTGTATGTTAGTAGTAAGAGAAGCTGCACATTACAAACAAAGCTTGATATAATAAACCTGAAGTAATTTAGAGTAAAATGTAATATTAAGTAATGATTGCACAGTACTAATAAGAATGACATTTTATTTTGCACAATAAAAGCTATATGCATTCTGTTTTCATGCCTGAAGCTTTATTGAAAAACAGCATGAGTGTTACTGTGGCAATAACTAGGCTGGTCATCATGGTTTATAAACTTAAATGAGGTTAATAAGAATGGGTGAGTCCAGGGTAATTAATCCGATTAATCATAGGGGCAGCAAGAGTATGATTTAAGATTGCCAAGTATGATTGTCGAGCTGGGGCCGGGGCTGAGAGTAGAAGAACTCCTGAAACCCTCATGACATGTGCTCTCCAGGAGCAGTGATTTAAAAATTCTTTTAAGGAATGGTACTGGATAGCTAGTCATGTTTGTGTGTACAGTATTTGAAAGTTGGGTTTAAAGCAGAAGTACAAGTAGTAATAAATTTCGGTGAAGCATTTGAGGAGATGATGTTGATAGAGAAATGAAATTAACAATAATTTTTATTGTTGGCAACAGTTCTGAACAATAAGTCTAGTTAAGGGAAGCAGAAGCAATTAATGTAAGAAGAGTTGTAAATTTTATTTTTTCTTGATGAATGGCAAGAAAGTAATTGTGTAATGTACAAAAACCTTTGATGACCAAAGTATCCAAGTAACATGTAAATTATACAATGAAAATTTATCTTTTATATACCAGCATGCCATAACATGACTTAAATAAGAGGAGAGGTGAATGGAATTGCAGGAGCAGCACCGAGTACATTACATGACTGGTGAATTTTCAAGAATATATAATGCATATTATTGTTCATATTTTGTTCATCACAGTAGCAGCTTTTCAGAATATTTGTGACCTAATGAGATACCGTTAAGATTGCCGAGTATGAAATAAATATCTAAGACTTGTTGAATTGTAATAAAAGATTTGATTATTTAACTATTGGAAGTGGAAGTACTACATTTAGTTTATAATGGCAGTAATACATTTACAGGTAATGTCAAACAGAGACGAGGAGAGGCGGGGGACAGGATGCCCGTCGCTGAAGACGAAGAATGTCAGGATCAGGAAAAAGAACATAAAGTTCAACAGTGGCGAAGAATACTGCTGCTTATTATTGCTATCACAGTGCATAATGTTCCAGGTAAGCTTTTGTGATGAATGTTACAAAATTTAAGAGGGCAGCATGTGAATTTACTTGTATCTTTGATTTACTTGAAAGATTTACTTTTAAAATCTCAATGAGCATCTTTGAGATCCTTCAACTTCACTTTTACTGTCTAATTTTTGTCTACATTTAACACGTTAATTTTCTCGCCCATTTTTTTCTGGGCAGCACACACTGTAGCTTCTCGGAGCTCATGTCACTGACACCCCAGGGGTCACAATCTATTCATCAGGTGCTCGAGTCACTCGACCCACTGGGAGCAAAGATCAATATCTTGCTTCCTCTGGTAGAGTAGAAAAAAGGTCACAAGCCACACACCACCCTACAAGAAATGTTCTGGAGATGAAGCAAATGCTATACTAAACAAAACTGACAGGAAAATGTATGACAAATTATACTTTCCCCACCACCAGGTGGTGTCCTGGACCACTCTGGGCTTTGGTGAAATGTTTTCCTCACACTCATCTGACAACCTTTTGGATACATGGCTTCTGCTGAGACATTGCAAAGCTTTAAAACAAAAAGGGCAGCTTTCCTTTGGATTTCGTTTCTATGCATATTCAGTAGGTTCATTCTTAAGCATTACACAGGCATGTATACTTGCCATGTTAAATCTTTTGCTGCCTTTGGTTTGGGCGCTCGCACTTTCATCAGCTCAGTTACGACATTTGAGTGATTCCTTACCTTCCATCAGTTGATTTTGTCTGTGGATATTCTGGGTACACGAGTGCCTACCTATTATGTTCATTTTTTGTTTTCTAATGGTTTCCCTTAATTGAAGTATTCCTTGGAGGAGGTACAGTGTTTAGAGTGTAATGTAGCTGAATGAAATAAGAGGGCCTTTCAGGATGAATTAAGGCTTCTCAAGTCTCTCCCTCACCCCCAATTATGGCCCATCAGAACTGGCTTTAAAAGGCAACTGCTGCATCAGAGAAAGTTACACTAGCCAGGCTGGATTTTTGGCTGTGTCCTGGAAATGGTTGGACATTGCATGTGGTTTGGTCAAGGGCTTTGTTAAGAGAAACTATTAACCTATACTTTATATAGGCTAAGTCATTTGATTTGATTCTAATATTCTTAATTTCTTGTGTTGTAATAGTTATAATTATGTAATCACTATGGGTTAATTATCTTAGATCTGCATATAAACTTTATTTTTCTGCAGAGGGGTTAGCAGTTGGTGTTGGCTTTGGTGCTATTGGTAAAACTCCACTTGCTACATTCAACAAAGCAAAGTAGGTTCTGGCATGTACATTTTTCATTCTTTTTGTGTGTAATTGTTTCACGTAATTGCTGTTTTATAGTAAAAGATCTTTTATACAAGTGTTTCATTTAGTTATTTTTGTAGTAAAGATAAGCTAAGAAAGCACACTGTTAGGCATGTAAAGTTGACTGTGTTCTTGATAAAAAAAATCATGATGTATAGTAGTAGTCAATTGAAAACAAGACGAACATTAATATTGCTACCTTACTCAATAGGAACTTGGCATTGGGTATCGGAATTCAGAACTTTCCTGAGGGTATGGCAGTTAGTCTTCCATTGAGAGGAGCGGGCCACTCTGTGTGGTGGGCATTTTGGTAAGTGCTCCTCATAATTTGTAATGTGATTGTTAAATTGGCGAGTAAAACTTGAATGTTTTTCTAAAAAATACAAAATAAAAATTCTATTCACATTCCACTCGTGGTGGAATGTGAGTAGTCACATTCCACTGTATGCTAGCCAAGTGAAAGTCCATTTCAGTTAGTAGTTTACACAGCGTAGCTTCAATTTGTGATCCATTTTATGGACACAGTGTAGGTGGTGGGAAAATCCATCTTAGACTACAGGATGTGTACAATGGCCATTACCATAAAAACTCCATAGCCATTCTTTATGTGAAAAGCTCTAAAGCAAGGCAGCAAGTGTCACCAACAAGAAAGTTAATAAGTTGATACAAGAATGGCTCTGTACACGTTCTCAGCTCTCCTCAGTAATCACCACACTGGTGGAATGCTGGTGTAATTAGATTGACAAATAATACTGTATAGCTTTTATTATCAGTAACTTGCATTAACCTCTGTACTGTACACCTAATTTAGGTAGATATCTTAGGGCATATAAAAAATATCCAGTTTTTTCTTTCTATAGTGTAAAACATTGCTTACCAATGTTGGGAAGAACATAAAATTTATCCAATTTAGTTAGACTGTAGTGAGGTGAAGAAATGTTGATACTGTATCTTATTTTCAGGGATAATTTTCAAGTTAACATTTGTAAGTTCTGTACTTCTCTAAATTTCACTCTACAACTCCAATACCATTTGAAAAAGTGGCTTTTCTCTGATTTATCAATTTCTTGACTTCTCTTTTAAATTTAGAACTAATACCTACATTTATTCAAACGTTAATTATGTAATGGAAATTTGTTACCTGTAGGTATGGTCAACTGAGTGGGATGGTGGAGCCTATTGCTGGAGTAGTGGGAGCAGCAGCTGTGTCCGTGTGTGAACCAGTGCTGCCATATGCTCTGGCCTTTGCTGCCGGGGCCATGATATTTGTTGTTGTTGATGACATCATCCCAGAAGCACAAGTGGGGTAAGCAATATTTTGCTTGAATTACTTGCAGTATATACATAAGTAATGTTTAGATAACTCTGTAGTTGAGTCGTGAGGTATTGCCTGTAGGGATGCTTTATGGTGTAGTCATATTTACATCATTCTTTCCTCTTCCTACACAGTTCCACTCAGTGTCTGAAATGCCTCATCACATTCACTTGAATGTGTACAAAATTATGGCTGCTTTTAAAATTAAGCTATGTAGCCATAGTATAGTTTTTTCTTAATTAACATTTTGGCTGGGACATCATTTTTTTTTTACTTATATCCCTGCCAAGGTTTAAAATGCACACCAAAGAGCTGCGTATTAAAATTCACCTTTTTTATTACATATCTAGTAAGAAAAGTGCATACTTTCCAGCTGTGCCATTAAAAAGTTAACAAATGAAATTGAAACCGACTTTTGTTATATATAAAATAGGGTTAACCTAAAACTAGTCCACATGTGTTCCCAAAACACATAATATTACAAAGATGAAGAAAAGACCCAATACTCATGTAAGTGTATTATTTAACAGAAGTTTTGGAAGAACCTACATCCTGTACACATTAGGGTGTGTAAGCACCATCCTTTATCAGGATGGTGCTTACACACCAAACTACTACAAACTACCAAAAGTTTGCAAACTACTGCAGCCACTCTCTGCAGTTGTTTGTGGAGAGTAGTTGCAGATTTACCTTCACTGTTGCTGCTGTCTTTTATTATCTCTTACTCTCTTTTGTACCCTTGCATGCCCATTTAAGTTTCCCTTTGGCAATGGCTGACCTCCAAGTTTCAGCTCACAACTGTCTACTATCTATATTTACTGCTAGGTAAATGGACGCATCAGTTGTAAGGAAACATGCCAAAATGTGTGTGCCTGAGGATTGGACCCAGGAATGAGGGGTCCTGTTGTGACCAGGAACCTTTTCTCTCTAACCTATTCATAGCTCCTTCCTCGTGTGTATATTCCTCTGTTCCCTCTCCACTCATTTCAAAACGTGCAATTACAGTGCATTAATTTTTATAACCAATAGCTTCTTAAAATAAGTCGCCTCACCTTTTGGAACATCATGTACATGTCAACAAAGATGAGCACAATTTTAATAATAGGTGAAATTAATATTTATGCATAATAACCCATTTAAATAAACGTCTTTAAAAATTTCTGAAATATTAGTCGGTAGATGACACACATGCTGATTGTCATTAAAAGTAAAAGTAAAAAACTAGCAAGTCTCATGCCTTAAGACATTTAATGAAAAAGCCTTCTAGGCCATCAGCTCCACTTTCTGGCACTATACTACAGTATATTGAAACTGGCTAAAAATTTCCAGAGTCCTTAAACTGATGACAAAATTCTGTGTCTAAAGACATCTGCAATAATGTAACATGGTACAGTATTCATATCATCACAGCCTTTAGTTATTCAGATATGGAAGAGTGCTATACAGTACTATACAAGGCATTATGTATCTTGTGTAATTCAATTTATACTTAGTTTTTAACAATTCCTTATTATATGGCATATATTCTGTATTTTGTATTTCTTTACCACCAGAGGCAATGGGCGATTAGCATCAGCATGGTGCATAATCGGCTTCATAGTGATGATGGCTTTGGATGTTGCGCTTGGATAGTTGCGGCAATGCGGTCCTCATGTTGTTAGCCTGGTATTTTTTGTATATAATGATTTTATTTTGACTACAGGAATGTAGCTGACTAGTCTTGATTGTTAAAAGGTTAAAGGTATATTTTTTTTGCCGAGTCCATTTACTTCATAAAAACAAATACTGTATGTTTACACAATCGCATACATGCTTGTACACAAATACTATATATACATACAGGTATACTATACACATGCACAATGAAATCATAAGAACACGATGAATCTAGGAATAACTATTTAGGCCATATGATGGTCAAACCCATGCCGTGAGGAGTTTTAAGAGGTGGGGGTTTGATTCCATTTTATAGCCTCTGTATTTATTTATGTTGACATGTTAACTCTTGCCCCCACACGCACACATACATGTGTGCGCCCGCACACACGCACACGCACTTGTGCACGGTTCCTGGGCCCTACTAATTAATGTGATGTGATGACTCAATCCCCCATGGGTTTAGTTTCAATTAGTGTTTAGGATTACCCTTCACTACTACATCGAGGTCGAACTACTAGCCCTCTCAAAGAAGCAACCGCACAACAGTTGACTAACTCCCAGGTGCCTAATTACTGCTAAGTGAACAAATGCATTAGGTGATAAGAAATGTGCGCCACCATGTCTGTCTTTGCCGAGATTCAAATAGGTTTTAAAACCTATGTTATTGGCTACATTTAAAGCTTTACTTGAATGAAATCAGTCAACTCTTCAAGATTTTTTGTTGTACAGTAGTGGCAAGAAAACCTTTCAATAATGGTGAGGTGCCAACTAGTATATTATTTTGTGTATATAATTTTTTTTTCATGAAAACATAAAACATAATCAGATTAACTAAATAAAAGTAATTGCAAAGTATTTACAAAGTAAGATATATTAAAATGGATATTGTTGAGGATTTTTGACCCTGCATTTTTTATGGGAAAATTCAAATCTCATGACCCCATTTTGTAGGGTGTTACTACCTCGAGCCCTTACGTTTCATGTAACATTGCCAAAATTCACACAATATCATACACAAATGAGGTGGCTTTAGGTTTTTTTAGCATAATTTTTTTCTCTAATAATATTGTACAAATTTGTCTAGTCTTAATGATTCTATAGAAATTAGTTTGGAGTAATATTTATAACCTAGCATCTTTGTTTTATGAATAGACATTATTGTTGTCTACCTACCTTGTGGAGGTTCCGGGGATCAATAGCCTCGAGGCTTGGTCTCCGACCAGGCCTCCTGTTGTTTATAATTTATTACTGTATTACTAATTATTATTAATACAAGGTATTATTATTTTTATTTTATTATTTTAAACTTTTAAGTAGTTGCACTTATGTTTTGAGGCTAAATTTCAAAGAAATATAAATCTTAAAATGTCTTGCTGTGTAAGAGTAAAGTTGACTTGGGGCCACCTCAATCTCCTGTGGTACATTAAACTTTCTACCTTCACACCAAGAAAGTATTGCCAGTTAGTGTAGTTCACTTAATGCAGAACATGGATTGAAATATAAATACTGTGTTAATAAATTCTGAGGTTGGCAAGTCGTTACTTGGATCAGATCAACTTGAATGGGTTGCCCCCAGGAGCCGGTGCTTACACTCCCCTACTGGTACACATGTACATATTGCTACTGGTATACACTGTATAGTTACACACACACACACACGTGCAGCCATGTAATATGGGATCAGATAACTATAGTAACATTGTATGAGAAATAGGTTAATAATTATTGCATTCCATTTATTTTTTTTTTAAACAACAGTGTACAAGTTGCTTTATTTTTGTTGTGGTCACTAATGCAAATGTGATAAGGTAGATGGCTTGAGTAAAGAAACTAGCAGTTTCATGAAGTCTGTGAAATTATGGTACAGTAGTCAACTGTACACAGAACCTGCTCGTACACTTATGTATGCATTACTTCTTTTTCTTTTGAATAAATTTGTATTTAATTTCTCAGGATACATTTTTTTAAACTGGTCAAAAAAAATTGTAAAATATACTTGTTCAGTGCAGTTTATTGAGTTATATGCGTGAATGAATATTCTTGTTAGAGCAGAATTGGTAACAAGACTTTTTTTTCAAATAATAATGGTTCACAAAAATAATAGAAACAAGCCAGTTTGGTGTATGATTCTTATACTATAAGGAGGGTTATTTATTGTTTATTACATATAACAATCCTATGGATTATGAAATTGAAACCAGGTTATGAATCTTAAAATAGATTTAGGTGATGTATATGTATGTGCCATCAACACACACTACTGTTGTTTTTCTGGTAGTCAATTGCTCCTGCCACTTCTTCATTCCAGCAAGCCGTTCTTTCATTCTTTTTACCACTTTATGCAACTGCGCACACTTTCGTACCTATCTTGACCAGACATTCCTTCTATACATCCTACTGAGGTTGATTTGTTGATGGTCATCTTCTCCGCTTAAACTTGGCTTCCACAGCATAAACGTGTGATGAAACAAACCTCCAGATTTTCTGCCTTGTAACACACACATTATTAAGCATACTGTACAGTACTTCCATCAGCAAATAGTCAATTAAATTTTTTTGTATTTTCTCTATCATGTAGACTATGTACAGTATATCCTTTTCTTTATAGAGTATGTATTAGTAATACCAATCTCATTATATAAATCTTTTAATCTTCAGTTATTGTCACTTATTCCTGGGACACCATTTCCACAGATGTTATTTGCAGGGCCTGTTCCAAATTCATCATTTAGATCGCCCATTACAAATATTCTTTAACTCGTAGGAATCTTCCCTATCGCATTCTCTAACCCAAACTAAATAAAAAATTTAATGTTTGCTTTCATCGTCACGTGCTGCAAATGCAGCCATACTGTAATTGCTAATATTTTCAAACTTAGAGTATCACACAACACACACATGACCACTTGGAAAATGATATGGAGAGTGTATAAGGATTTAGGAACTATGTATAGGTTTCCTAATGCAGTATATGAGCTATTGTTATTAAATTTAATTTGATTTTAATACATCACAATTTATATGAAATTGTAATTTTTATTTGATATAACCTTAAGTTTTATATTTACAAATTTATTAAATGAATATTTAGTGATTCAAAACTCCCATAACAGCACGTAATTACATGCCACTAAAACATGAACAGTGATTCAGACTTGTCCTCTTAATTTACCATTTGTGAATTTTTTTTTTTTCAAACCTGGTATTAACGGACCTTGCAAGAAAAACGATTGTAAATATTTCTATGCATTAATTTTAGAAATTAAGTGTTGACCAAAATGCTGTATGAAGGAAAACAAATTGAAGTGTGAATACCCTAGTCTCTGAGATGTCATTGACAGTGTGCATTGTGTGAGATGGCATCAATTAGGTTCTAGCATCTATAGGGGTCTTTGGGTTAGTATCAGTATGACAAGCTGTGTATATTATGGTAAATGAGCAGATCATTTTATGCAATATCAGAATGCTGTAACCTTACAAGCTGCAGGGTCGGTTCCATCTCCCAAAAGTGGCTTTCTTCCTTGTATTTCTATCCTGCCTTTCTCATTGCAGTTAGCAACCATTAGGATGATGGTAGTGTGATACTGTATGACTAATGAACTATGTAGTATTAAATGTGGCATATTCTTATCGCTTTTGTCCTTCCATAATAGGTGGGGGAAATCGACTCTGGTTAGGCTGCATATTGGCCACACAAATTTGCAGGCTATTAATGGAACAAAGACCTGCACCTAACCTGAACTGCACCGTCTCGCTTTAGTCATGCTCCTCCTTGTGGAATGTCTCAAATTTCAGGATCAAAAATCTCTCTTCCAAATATCCCTCTTGAGTCACTTGTCCCTTGATAAAATCCTTGAATTTGATATTTTTGACAGTCTTGTCCGTTTTGCTTTTGTATTAGGATCTTAAATGATATCTAGGACTTTTGACTTTTGCCCCACAGTTGATGCTAAATAGTCTTCCAGGCTTGGTGCATTCTTTGATTATTACTAATGACACAGGTATCCAGCATCTACTGCTGGTGCTGTACAACTGGAAAGTGGCTAATTTGGTTAGCTTAATTACTTCATTATGCACTGTGGACAGTGGCAGAAAGGTTATACAGTCACATGATGGGTTCAGAGAACCTAAATGTATTGGCTTCAAAAGTCCTCTTTTGTACTAAACAATTCCCAACTTTTGCATCTCACAAAAATAGACAAAGTGCTAAGAATCATTTGAAAAAGTTTTGTGAGTGAAGTGAGTACAAAGAGAATTGAAAAGTTGTATTCATACAGGATTTTCAGCATTGTTGTTCTAATGATATCAAATTGGTGGTTGGATAAACTCGGCAATAGCATATATTTTTTTTGTTTAATTCTTTCCATATGTCCCTTTACAGTAAATGTCTACATAAAATCATCAGTGAATCTGTCCCCTTTTTTAAAACTTAAGCTGTAGTAGTTGATTTACCAAAATATGCTCTAAAACACACTAAGCAATGTGTGTCCACATATCTAGGAAACTGTGTGTCATGTAATATTCGACCAGGCCCCCTGACCTCAAAACAGACCCTTGGACCAAGTAAATGTCAGCAGTTCACAGTACAGTAGTGGAATTTTGAATGCTCCATGTGTTTTTTTTTTGTTTTTTTGTTTTTTACATCTCTCTTCCTTCTTATTTCTTTCAGTCCATGGAAAGAGCACACCTTGTTCTTATTATAAATTAAATAAAAATTTAAGAAACAAATTTATGGTTGTATTTATATTGTTTTAGGAACACACACACACACACACACATTGGTTTTAGGTTCCATGGCCCATATTATCTATTAGAAAATAACTATAATTTATCTGATAACAATTTTGTACAGCTGGAGAGCTTTAGTTTTGCTAATGAGATTTAAAATACTAAATTTTAACATTTTGTTTTGGCTGCATTTTTGACCCTCTAGAAATCAAAGTGAAATATCAGCCAAAGGGTTATAAATGTATGTATGTCTGTACATGGTCTGTTGTGGCAGTTTTATTCTATTGTTATTTCTATAAAAGAAACTAGTTTATTTTTTTAATCAAAACACGGGTTACATTTTTGCAAATTCTTCAATACAATGGTTATATATTAACTGTCTAGAGCTAGACACTAACATCCTCTTTGACACATTTTCACAAAAAAATGTAATTTCCTGGTGGCATTGGATGGCGAGTGTAGCACTTGGTAATGCAGCAACAGAATCTTGCCAGTAACGGTTAGGTGACCATGCAGACACCCTCGCTGTTAGTCTTGGGAACTCAATTTATCTAAATCTGAATAAAAAATACTGTAATTAGAGGGCCCACAGATAATGAATAGTTAGCTTTTGTATTTATTTCTGAACAAATTCTTATTTATTTTAGCATAAAATTGTTTATCTCTGAATTTCATTAATTTCCAAGTACAGTATTTATGAAATCGCTGTACTCCGAGATGGCTCGGACATTATTTATTAAGCCGTTTAAGTGAATTTCATACTTTTAGGTCAAATATAAGATACTGTCCTGCAATACTTTTATATTTTGAGCATTTTATTGGCTTGCTTTCAGTAATTTGAACATGCTTAAATTTGTTGATATTACCATCACTTTCATTCTTTATTTTTCATCTATGGTGGAATACAGAGTCCCCAAGCTATTGCGTGCAAATATATATCATGGAAGAAATAAAAATGTTAGAAAACTATGGAATCATTCGTTGCATTAAAAAGAGCTGTTTAATTAATTCGGAATGCTTTCACACTGGTGTACATGAAAGCTGGTACAGTATTATTTTATCTCCATTACTAATGCTTCATATCATGTGTTTGGAAGAAAATGCTGTACATAAAGTTGCTGGCAGATACACCCTAGACAGCCCTAGTACGCCATTTGAATGGGTAGTTTATTAATAAATCCATTGTGAAATGCACTTGTTCATTTATCTACAATAAGCATGTGTACATCTCGCCAAACTTTAGTCTCCCACCTCAAAACATGTTGATATTTGAAGGCTTAAATGGGATGTTATTAAAACCTCTATATCTGTTGTTGCTTATGGCCTGGACAGCAGCTTGTCTTATGGTCTGGACAGCAGCTTGTCTCACCCATTAAGGTCAAAGCCTTGGACTGTTTCTCCTGTAGGGGTTGTGAATAATGGGTTTGGTTTCCTTGAGGTATCTCTCCATGGCCATTTTTCTGTTCAGATGATGATAGTGTCTGCCTGTTGCCCATTTATATTTCTGTATTCTGTGGCATGTATGTCAGTATGTTGCTTGAGTTTGATACATTCCCTTATTTAATTTCTTAGGAGTTAAGGATAACATGCCAGGCATGGCAGGGCAGATCTCATTGAAACTTGTAAAGTACTGTACAGTATTGAACAAGTTTGAGGATGTTGATCCTGAAAAATTCTCCAAATGGAGCAATTGTTTCAAGTTCAACAAACCTCAATGTAGGACTGAGAACAGGAGATGCTTTTTTACCCACAAGACCCCCCACCCCTTTTTCACCCATGAAACTGCCTACCTGCCGAAGCTGCAAACGCCAAAACTGTTAGGTTTTAAAATCCATCTTCAAAGGATCAAGGCAAAAGGGGGGGAGGGGTCCTTCAACAAGCCACCAGCATCCTGTCCTCGTCGAGGCCATTAGTGTTAGTGGCCCTCAATTAAATAACCTTCACCTTTATTTGTTAAATAATGTTCTGCCAAGCTTGTCTTCCTAGTTAACCCAATTTTTTCCTTGTACATCATCGTTTTTTATGATCATGGTGGGTCCAGGGTGGGAGGATGGGTTTTGTGGGGGGTATAGTAGGCATAACAGGGAGCATAGTGGACATAACAGGGAGCATAGTGGGCATAACAGGGAGCATAGTGGGCATAACAAGGAAGGTAGTGGACGTGGTGGAAGGATGGAGGGCAAAGCAGGTGGGTAGTGGGCTGGGCAATGCAGGAGGGTAGTGGCATGGAGGGAGGTGGGTGTTAGGCAGGGTATGAGGGTGGTGGGTACGGCTGCAGGACGGGAGGGAAGCGACGGGTGGCCAGCGGTGAGGGTGCGGCAGCTGCCCGGGCCAGCAGGAAGCTCTCTACCTAAGCTGCTCGGCTCCAGGTTCAAGAAGCTATACCCATTCCACTACACAAAATAACTCCAAAACCCGTTTCTGCTATTGTACACTTAACGGGACGAAAGCTGTATTCGTAGGGGATTTGTAATAGCTGGACTCGTTGGTTAATATGTATGAAACTTTGCGTTTATTTTTTATTATGCATCCTCCTCCCAGCCTCGCCCAGCGTGTCTGTCCATCTGTCCGTGTGTAGCAGCAGGCGGGAGCATCCATGCCCCCTGGACACACCCGCCTACTCTTTTTGTGCGCGCGGCTCTGCGTCTGGTTACCCTTTTTTTTATTGTTATTAACAGGCTTAGGTAGGCTACACAGCCCTGTGCTGCTGCCCCTAGTCAATAGTAGGGGGTTACAGACTGTTGGGCAAGAGGTAGCCAGGTTCACTTAAACCCACGCGCCTCGCAGGATGTTGGTCACACCCGGGATGCGAGTAGTCTGCATAAGTAAAATTGGGCCGTCCCATCTCGATATCCTTATCAGTGTGGATGTGGAACAGTTACATAGATCCAGATATCTCGATATATATTGTCTAAAACATTGATAATTAGACATTAGTCAATGTTGAAGCACGTGTCAAAGCTCATTTATAATTCACTTGGTTACAAAAATGATCAAGTACAGTACATTATTTCTCGAGAAAATTAAATAATTATAATAAGTGTACTTACGCTATTATCATATATATACAGCCAGATAACGGCTATGCCCGTTTATTTCAGGATTCTGAATAAATTAGACAAAGCAAGCAATAGTAATTATTGCCAGTGTTTACCAAACTATAATAATAATTGTTTATTGTTCCCTGATTGTGATCATGACGATCAAGCCCCCAAGCTGAGGTGCGCAGAGTGGTGCGCACTGATTTGACATTTTCTTGGAGTCAGATTAGAAATTGATTAAATGCTTTAGTGTGTGAC